CCTGCTGAGAAGTTGAAGAGAGAGAATTATTAGGCATTCAGTTAGGAGACAATTCCTTTCCTTGCTCATTGGTCTGAAGAGTCAGGCCCAACCATCTTTACCCAGTGGTGGAAGCCTGCTTGCATTACAGCATACTGAGAGCTCTGACTGGTGAAAATATTTGCCCTCTTTTGTCCACTGGTTTTTGCTCTGTTCAATTTTTGCTCTGTTCAGTTTTATTTTGAAATAACTACTTCAGGATTCTAAGAACCTTCTAAAATGTCATGCATAGGCCTCTTTGTGTAAACAGATTCTTGTATAACATTAAGAATGTTAAGCTTCTCAGTTTTGAGACTCTGGCCCTGTTTTATTAGTTAATGATTTGTATATCACTTATGCTGTAAAAAATTCTTAGTACTTTGATCACGACAACAATAAGAGATGGCTTTATCACTGTCAGAATGGAGTAGACTTATGTACAAATCAGTACTGATAAATTTTATGATATTTTGATATTTCAGTATACCACCTAACTTTATATTGGGATTTCAGCCATTAGTTTGCAGCTCAGCTGTGTCATTTGTGGATGAGCTGAGAGTTAAAGGCATATTACTCTAATTTTTTAGAATGTGGTATATTAATATACAATGTAAAAATGATAGAAGGCTTTGTTAGTATTTATTTATTTATTAAAAACATTTATACCCTGCCTTTCCTCATGGTTTATGGTGCCTTACAATATGGAAGAATTTAGTAGCAGTTTTTTTAAAAGTGTTATCTTAAACTTCGGTATCTTAGGGAAGTGTCTCTGAGATTTTAGGAATATACATATTTATTTAAATATAATTAATTGGTCAAAAACAGAACATTAACTAAAATTCTGAAGTTGATTTACCGCCCCTACTCTAAGTGGCTATTTTAGTAAAATCAAATTAGAACCAACTCTTGTAGTAGAAAACAACATACTCAAGTATGCAGCATGTTTTAATGTTGTAAATCTATTGCAGATCCTTCAGCTGATGAACTAAGAAGGCTAATGATGTTGCATGGAGGGCAATATCATGTATATTATTCCAGATCCAAAACAACGCACATTATTGCAACAAATCTTCCAAATGCCAAAATAAAAGAACTCAAAGGGGAAAAAGTAGTTCGACCAGAATGGATAACAGAAAGGTAAATACTGGAGAATTATGATCAGGATTATGATGATGATTAAAATGTTATAAAATTTACAACTTGAAAAAGATCTAAAAACAACATTGTCAAACATTTGACTTGCTGTTAAATATTGTGTGATATGTTCACATAAAATATTTAATATCGTACAGTTTTGTATAGAAAGTACTGACGAGGAATTGAGTGTAAACTATTGAAGGGTAGTCTGTGAAGTGAATAGCAATGTCAACTTCAATCATTGAAACTCAAGACAGTTAATTACCAATGTAGCTGATGAAATTAATTTTATGACTTTAAGGTGTGAGGGACATGGGCAGAAATGATCAAAATCTCATTGATAAACATTAATTTTGTAAGTGTTTTCTGAGTTTGTGATGGATAGTTTACTTAGGTGTGAAAATTTAAAACAATGCTTAATTTTGCTGGAAATATTTTTGGCTGTGTGTTTTGCAATACACAAACTACTGGTATTAAGAAAACCATAACTAAAACAACATGACAGTTTAAAATGATGTAAAATGCTGATTTTGGATTTATAAAGAAATAATTAGCTACCTAAGAAGATGCATTTTCAGTATCACTGTTATACCTTTCAGGTGTTAAAATTGACTGGATTATTTGCATTCTTAGAATATAGCAGTCGTTTACTGAAATGATATTTAGATTGTACTGGACAATTCAAGAAAACAAATGATCTGTAGTTGAGACTGTCCCCATTGTGACGGATCTGATTACACCATTCCCATAGAAACCTGATCACATAACTGCTAACAAGTTCTTGTTTTTCTAATTGGGTAATGTGATCTTAGGTAGTTCTCTTAATTGCAGCATGTACTGGTTTTTGATCCTTTGCCAAGCCTCTTGTTAGTGTACAGCTTGAAGTTAGATGGGAAATACATCATAAAGAGTATTAGTATTGCTCTGATTTGCCAGCACATTTCCCTAGACCATGTGTGATTATATCCCTCTTCTGCATAACAGGGACTTGGCTGCTTATATTGTAGAAGGAACCCCTCAGAGAACATACTGGTAATCTAGAAGGGAGATGTGAAAGTGATGCCATTTGAATCCATAAACCCAAGATTTAACAACATATGTCAAATATCAAACAGGATGGTTCTGCTAGACTAATTCTAGGAGACAAGAACTATAATAATACTGTGGCAATATTTTTTTGAGAAAGTACATTTGAAGCAAGGAAAACTCTTAATTTGTAGTGTTATAGGATAATAGGATAAAGTCTTCAATCTTTCTCTATCCCTGACTTGCAGGAAAATACCAAAAGTTGCTTAATTGAACCTTGTTAATTTTTATTTTTGTTGTTCAGTCACACAGTCGAGTCCGACCATTCTTCAAATTTAATTGGACTTGATTTTATTCAGGAGTGGTTTGAGAGTTTTATATTTTCTGAAAATTATGGTTGATTTGATTATGTAATTTTATTGCATATCATTTCTTAACAGTTCGAGTTAGGATTCAAAGAACTGTGCAGTTAACTGTGGATTCCTAAAGAAGCATTGGGCTTATATGGACAAACAGGGCTCTCAGTGCCATATAGCAAACCACTTTTAAAACTCAAGGGGGTTGCAACAGATGAGTATGGTATTTTCTGCATGGTTGTTTTGGTCAGTTCTAGCCTCGTACTGCTTCAGATGATCCCCTGATTTCTGCACACATTTTTGTGCCTTTTGCTTTCACTTCAGGTTTTTTTTTTGTTCCCCCCCCCCCCCCCAGTTCTTTTGAGATAATGTTTGCCCCCAATGTTTTTCTGGAAGCCGATTTGAGTCAGCTTTTTTCCTTGTACATAATGTACTTGTAGGTTTCTTTGTCCTGCCCTCTCCCACCCACCTCCTGCCCACTTTTTGACTGTTGTGGTCAAACCACTCCCCCCCCCCATGAAGACAGGTGGTTTCATTTTTCTTTTTTTAAAAAACAGCATTAAAATATTGATATATCACTACAGCATTGTAACAATAGGCTTATCTGGTTCTCTGAATGCCCAGCTTTCATTATATAAAGAAAAAAGTATGTCTCTATCCCTTTCATTTGTGGAGATGTCTTTTTCCTTATCCCCATGAGGGATGATACTAGAGACTTGTGTTTTTGTTTTCAAAGAAGAGGAGGAGATTGGATTAATACCCCACCCTTCACTACCCAAAGGAGTCTCAGAGTAGCTTACAATCTCCTTTCCCTTCCCCTCCCCACAACAGACACCCTGTAAGGTAGGTGGGACTGAGAGAGCTCTTTCTAGAACTGCTCTTTCCAGAACAGCTCTGAGGGAGCTGTGACTGACCCAAGGGCACACCAGCAGCTGCAAGTGGAGGCGTGGGAACTCAAACCTGGCTCTCCCAGATTGGAATCCTTGCTCCTAACCTCTACACCAAACTAAAATACTGAAAACTGGGAATTCAGTGAAGTTGCTGAACCTGTTGTTACAACAATCTAGCGATAGATCAATATTTATTGCCTTTCTTTAAAAAGGAGAGGTGTTGCAATGCCACCAATGATGACAGCACCCTCCCTTGAAAATCCTCATTGTTGAAGGTATGTGCGGAAGAAAATAAACTGATTCCACAAGTGCAGAGGGAGGGCAAACATCCAAGCCAGTTCCAATGCATGTGGATTGACTGCAAAGAAAATCAGGAGTAAGTCGAGCTTGCAGAAAACCCTAAGATAGGACATCAAGTAGTCTGTTGTGCAAACTGAGTATGCCTAAGCCTTTAGGTACTCCTAAAGCAGCTCTTTGGATCTCGACCTTAGAATTTTGAATTTATTTACAGTGTATGGCAACAATCTCCCTTCCCTTTTGTATGCATGGATCTTTTCTACATGATCCAATCCATTATACATTAATTGCTATCTTGTTCCTTTTCTTTCCAATTCTCCCCTTTTTGCAGCAGCCCTTCACCTCTCATACTGCTTCTGGGTATCATCCATCCCTCAGGAGCAGCATGGGGGCGGCATTTCATGCTGCAGTCTGAGGAGGGAGAGGAGGAAGTCCTGCTTCCATGAACAGAATTTAGACAGGGTTAAAGGAATGCCTCCCCCTAAATTAATTAATTAATTAAACTACTATTGAACACAGACCATTTTTTCCGTATGATGTTGTAAGGTCAGAGTTTACATCTATTGAACACAGACCATTTTTTCCGTATGTTGTAAGGTCAGAGTTTACAGTAAAAATAATTCTTGTGTTGACATCCTTGATAAACTAAACATATTTTGTTTTAGCATAAAAGCTGGGTGTCTCCTTTCGTACATTCCATATCAGCTTTACACAAAGCAGTCAAGTATTCAGAAAGGCCTCTGTTTCAATACCATATGCAAACCGGAAGATCCTATTCCAGGTCCTAGCAATATCTCTGTAGAGTTCAACAGGGTGTAAGTATCTGGTCTTGATTTTCTATTCCAAACTGTTGGCAGTTGACCAGTTCTGATGATTTCTAATAACTTTATGTTGATAATGTTTGTGCAGGTCTTCAAAAAGTTCTTGGGCTGGGTTTACATTCAGAATATAAATTAGTAATTTTAAGTTTGTAGCCTGTATTCTGGAAAAAAGTGTATATTCAGATTAATTTAATAAATAACTCTTCCAAGTTAGAATAATGCTTTGAGTTCCATTTTTTTAACCAGTATAAGTTGCAGAGTCTGTCTTACTATGTTGTGAGTGTGATACAGTGATAATATGTTAGTATCCAATACTAAGCATCTCGTGCAGATCTTTTGAAGCTAAAAAGTAATTAGGATTAATTGCTAATCAGCATGCTAGTTAAGCTGTTCCTCCCAGTGGTGATGTAGGTGGTAACTATAAACAAGACTTTCTCAGTAGTGGCACCTCACATCTGGAATGTCCTTCCTCTCGAGGAGTGCCTCTAGCACACTCTCCTGTCATTTATGTTCCTGGCCAAAGTTGTCTCCTGTTCCAGTTTTATTTGTTTCTTTAGTAGTTCTGTCTCATCATTTTTTAGCTGATCGTTTTATGGCCTGTGTACTGCAATTTCATGATGACTGTCTTCAACTTCTGGAATAAGTGTTGCTGTTTTTATGCTGCACCCTCTTCATGCAGATTTTTCCAACAAGTTTATGGCCAGTTTTTATTATTTGGCGTGTTAA